CGGGGCGGCGCGGCGCGCGGGCCCGGGTGGCGCGGGCCCCGCAGGAGCTGGTCTCGCGCGGGAGTCTCTCCCACGGCCCCTCGCGGTGTCCTTCCCGGGCGGAGGCTGCGGGCTGGGCGGCAGCTCGCGCGGTAGAGTAAGTGCGGGGTGTGCCGGCCGGGCTGCTGCGATAAGGGTGCAGCCGGCCCTGGAGGGCGCCGATTACGCAGCCCGCGGGACTCGGCGGCTGCGAAACGCTTTCTGCACCGCCAAATGGCCGAACGCAGTGACTCAGCCCCATTCCGTATTATCTTTCATCGGTTTTTATTACAGAACTGGAAATTTGTTTTGCTTTTGCTTTTTCAGACGCATTCTCTCTACGTAGTCCATGCTAGTCTCGAACTAGCAATCCTGCCTTGGTCTCCCCAGCGCTGGGATTACAGTCCCCAGTACAGTGTCCGGCATGTGATAGAAGTCCATTAAGTCTTTGTTGAATAAACAAGAAATTAAATATGCTGGGGGCCTGGCCCTAGCTCAGGCCTTTAAGTGTCTGCTTCCACAAAGCTGTCAGCCTCAGGTTGCTGGAGTTCAAACCTCACACCTCTCCCGCTGGCCAAAAGTGCCCTGAAGGCATTCGAGGAACAAAAAAAAGAAATTAAATATGCAGATGAGCAAGACAGGGTAAGGGGGAACCAGCTTTTGTGGAATAACCGCTATATTCCTCTCTGTGCATTATTTAATCGCCGTGATAGCCGTGAAGTAGGCATTGGCTCTCAGGACTACTGAAGACACCAAGTCTCAGAAGTGACCGACCTGGTCTACACGGTCTAGAGCGAAACCTAGATCCATCTGTTTCCTTAACAGCTGCTGGCCTTGCAGTTCCACTGGTTCCAGTTGGGCAATAGAACCAAAGCCTATTTAGGATGAGTGACTCATCCTGAATTCCCAGGTCCCTCTGTTGGGAATTGCTAGGTTTAGATCTTGCATGGCTCCCAAAGGCACATACTATGGGCTGAAGGTGACAACCAGATGACATAAGGTGGCACTTGGATTGGAAGTGGCAGGGATGGACACCCTAGACACCTGCAGAAGTGGGGTAAAGGAATCTTACAAAGAATGGGATTTCTGTCAGGAAAAGTTCTAGGTCCATGAGTCGTAGCACACAAATCATATGCTCCCACCAACATTTGTTGGTGTGGTTTGGTTTTTCGAGACCATCTTCATTGTGTAGTTCAGGCTGGACTTGAACTCACTATGTAGCCCAGGCTGGCCTCATACTAATGCTGGGCTTACAGGAATGCATTACCATGCTGGCTTCTCGGTTCTTAGGGTTCCTTTTTCCTGTTACGGGAGAAGACGGTACGGACACAGGTGTAGGAATTCATGGAAGATGTACTGTTCTCATCTCAGTGACTGACGCACTGCAGACCAGACAAGCGTGGAAGTCCCAGGCCAAGTGTCTCAGGGTGGCTCCGAGGCCTCTTTCCTTAACCTCCGACTACTGTTTCCCATGAGTGGCCGTCCCTCTTTGTCTGAGGCCTGACCTCTTCCACTAAGGCCATAGTCCTGTTGTATCAGGCCTCCCCTGACAACCTCGCTTTAACTTGCTTACCTCTGTTTACCTTGTTTTTTGGTTTGGGTACCAAAAATCAAACCCAGGACCTTGCACTTGCCAGGCAGGTACTGTGCCACTGAGCTATCTCCCAGGCACTTGCCTCTGTGTAGACCCTTTGTCCCCTAAAATGGGTGCATTGTGAGGTCCTGGGAGAGCCTGGCAGCGCTCCTCTGATGGCCCTTGTTAGGGTTGACCACCAGAGGGAAGAGGCAGGTGGTGAGATTCCTGGATGCTGGAGGAAGAGGCTGTCTCCCAGGGAGGGAACAGACGAGTGAACACAGAAAATGCACCATGATCTCCGGCAGCACAGAGCCCCCTTGTCCTCGGACTCAGGCACCAGCTGGGGCCCAGCCTGGGTCAGCACTCTGTCTGTTGGATGCCGGGCAGCCCGTGTGAAGACTGTTGACTGAACGGAGGCCTGAGAGCTGGTAAATCAGAGCCCTGGGTCTGGCTGCCACATCCCCACTTTGCGGTGACTGCATGTCTGCTCCATGCCTGGGGCTCCTCTGTAAAGTGGGAAAAAGCTGGAGATATTTCCCTGATATGGCTGCTGCAGCTAAGCAACACAGACCAGGTGTGAAGTTCACCTGTCCCTGCCTAACTCACAGTATAAAGGAACAGCAATAAAGATTTTTTTTTTTTTTTTGCTATGATAATAAGACTAAAGACAGAAGCGAGGAGTGTGTGAGTGGAACCGTGGTTGTCACCCGAGCGTGGTCGTGCTTGGCTCAGCTTACTGGTGGCTGTAGATCACAGGGCAGCACATCCAGGGGTCTGGGAGAATGTTGCAGTTTGTGTCTAGATGCCCCCAAAGCATCATGGGGTCATGGGGGTGAGCCTTTTGGGGGCAGCTGAATCTAGAGTTTGTGATTGGTTCATTGCCCAGTGCTGGGGTGCAGGTGTGAGTACCACACCGGCCCTAGAGCGAGTAGCCTGCATAGAGTACAAGGGAGGAAAAGAGGCTTGTTCCTTTTCTTTTTGCTCTTGATGTTTTTGCAGAAACAGTTGCCCCTTAGCCATGTCCCCCTTCCTTGGGACCAGCTGATTACAGCTAAATAAACTTTTCCCTCTTTAACTTTGGTGTTGGGTATTTTGTCTCAGCAGTGAGAGAGAAGTAACTATGACAGACAGCGAGATCCCACAAGAGTCGGGGGTATTCAGACATCACTCACACACACCAGCATAACTCAAAAATCCTTCCAGTGCGATTTCGTAATTCAGAACTCACCCTTCCAGCCAGGTGTGGCAGTGCATGCTGCCATCCCAGCACTTGGGAGGCTGAGGTAGGGGGTTGCTGCAAGTTTGAAGCCAGCCTGGGCTCCACAGTGAGACCTTGTCTTTAAAAAAGAAAAGAAAAAAAAAAAAAATCCACCTTCTGGAGGAACAGCTTCATAGCTGACTGTTGCTGAGTGTGAATGGTGGGAAGTGAAACAAAGGAGACTGAACCAACTGGTCCCAGCAGGCACAGGGCCAGAGGGGCAGGGGAGTGGGGGGGACGGGACACGACGGGGGGGGGGGAGTCAGGCATCAAGGGAGGTACTGGTAGGTTTTTCAGCAGCAAGGTAGAGGTGGTCATTGGGAAGATAAGCTATTGTTTTGGGATCCAGCCATGTTGAGCCAGGGCCACTACAACTTAGCAGCTCATACTCGGGCCAGAACTATCAGGTATGTCTTGCAGGAGTTGCAGATCTGGCTTTTGCTGTGCACACCGGAGGAATGGGATGACCCCTTTGCATCCTGCCTTCCACCTCAAGGGATGGACAAGGCCCTGCACTATTCTGCCCCCTGAAGCCATGTTCAGAGGTGGGTCAGAAAGCTGTCTCAGTGGGAGTCTATCCCCAAGCCACTCTAGGAAAAAGTGAGGGCTTTAAGATGGGGGCTGGAGGGCTGGGGAGATGGCTCAGTAGGATAAGCGCTTGACTGGCAAACGCAAGGATCTGAGTTCAATCCCTGGTTCCGAAAAAAAAAAAAAAAAAGATGGGGGCTGGGAAACCAGGCGTAGTGGCACGTGCCTGTAACTAACCCCAGTACTGGGGAGGCTGAGACAGGAGGATCACTATGAGTCCAAGCTGCATAGCAAGACCCTGCACCAAATAAGTCAATAAACAAATAGGTCTAAAGTGCACTTAGCTGGCCACCAAGATCAGGCGTGGTGGCACATGTCTGTCATCCCAGCTCTGGGGAGGCCAAAAATAAGAGGATCACTATAAGTGCAAGCTGTGTAGTGAGACCCTGTACCAAATACAAGAAAGAGTTACTTGTCAGTTCTGCAAGAAGTCTTCTGACCAAGAAAAGGGCTCTCCACCCTGCACACCTGAAACTCCCGTGCAAAAGCCACCTGGACAGCAACTGCTGGGAACCAGCTTGTGCAGATGGGGTCATTTACTGACACAGTTCTAACCAGGGCTGCACCAGGGTCCTAGATGACCAGGAAGACCGAGGTTATGAACCCATGCAGAGCCAGGGGGCGCTCGAGCAGCGCTGACGCTTCACAGTCCTACCAGGGAAGCTCCTAGCTCTGGACGCCCCAGAGGGGCCTACCACACAGTAAGCAGCAAAACATCTAGGACCAAGGTGGTCTTTTTAATCACATTTAAATTTTTCTTTAATCACAGAACTAGAGCTGGTACAGATCTTAGAGCTGTGTCTCTCTTCCTTCACCCTTCATCCTTCCTTTCTTCCTCCCTTCTTCCCCCCTTCCTTCCTTCCTTCTTTCCTTCCTTTTCAGTACTGGGGATTTACCCCCAGCGCTCTGCACATGCTAAGCAAACACCTGACCATTGAGCTCCATCCCCAGCCCTTTTTTTTTTTTTTACTTTTTTGTTTTTTTTTTTTTATTAATTTTATTCAGAAACAAATAGCAATGAGACAGTTTCAAAACCGATTACAAGCACAGTATCAATATTTAATACATTGCATATTATTATCTAGTGGTTATTCACTGTACAAGATGCAGACATGATAGCCTGTCCACAAACACTATTCAAACAAATCTCTCTATTCATTGAATTAAAAGAATGCAGCTGTATAGCTATCCCAACTATTTTGATTTTTTTTTTTTTTTTTTTGTGGAACTGAGAATTGAACTCAGGCCCTTGCACTTGCCAAGGAAGCACTTATTCCACTGAGCCATCTCCCCAGCCCCCCAACTATTTTG